TAGCAGTTACCAGTTAGCAGTTACCAGTTACGGAGCCTTTTCCATGGTTAAATGTACTTTATTTAATCCTTATAACAGTCCAGCAAAGTAGATGACATTATATTTCACTCTACCAGTCTGCCTCTGCTCAGACTGCTTCTAGTAGAAGACGGAGCCCCAGAAGTTACGTGACTGGTCTGAAGTCCCTAACCAGATGGCTGACGGGGTAGCTCAGGCCCCTGCGCCAGTGCCTAAGGAAGAGTCATCTTTCCACTCTTTTCCTCCTTGGTAACCCTTCAGAGGAAGACATCGGGATAGTCAGGGACGAGAATGGACTGAAATTTTGAATTATAAGATGCTGTGCGGAACCAGGGAACGTTCCACTCAGCCTAAAACCCTAACCTGCCCAGCGCCTGCTCCTGCATGGCAGCTCCTCTGCTTTGCAGAGCTGGCTTGTTGTCCCCTAGATAAATGACACCTGTAGACCTTAAACAGAAACCCGACAGACATACCTTCATTTAAGCCAAGTACTGGCGCTGCGTCTGAAATATAAGAGTATGGTTGCTTTCATCTCTGATTCTAAAAGAATTGGGGGGGCGCGGGTTACGCGTCCCGACCACCTCAGGCATTGAGGGCCTGGCCTGATGGGTGCCCAACCCATGCACCTCCACTGCACCTTGAGGCCCACAGTCAGAAGGGTGTTCCCTTCCCCGATCCCACCAGGAAGGAACCCGTTTCAGGAGGACCCTGGAGCTGCTGGGGCAGTGTTCCCGCCCCCTCACCCTGCCCACCTCCCACTGCAGCAGCCAGGCCTGCGGGCGGAGCCGTCTCTCTCCCTGCTCAGGCCAGGGCCGCTCTCCTTTCCCCACCAGTGGGCTTGGACAGAGGGAATCTGATAGGAAAGCCTGTTTGTGTGTCACCTGTTTACTTTATCTGTGGGAAAGAAGACATGGTCATTTAAATGAAAAAAGAAGAAACAAAAACCACCTGCTTCTAGTCTAAACCGTGAGTCTAGAAAGTTGGTCCTTAATCAGAGAGAAATGTCAGTGTCCCCCGGGCCTCACTCAGTCCCTCTTCATAACATGTGAACCAATCTTTTCATCAGCTGGCAATCTACTTGAAAGGAACAGAACCAACTTTGACCAAGCAGAAAAGGAGTTTGGGGGAACAGTACAGAGGTCGCCACGGAGTCAAAGGGAGAAGCCGAAACACAGCTGAGAGCGCGTGGCTTCCGGGGCCAGCGAAGGGCGCGGACCAGCTCCTCGGGGTTGCCGGGTGCCGCGTTCAGCCGCCCCATGGTCCGCAGCTGCTCGTCCCTCTGCCCTGGGAGCAGGTCCCGGAGGGGTGCAGCAGCGAGGCCCGCCCCCCAGCTGCCCCAGTGCCGGGGCCTCCGAGCAGAAGCCCCTCCTGCCTCGCGACGCAGCCTGCGACCCTCGAGACCGTAACTCAGGGCCGTCAGGCCTTTTAGGGCAGCTGCCCCGTCCTTCGAGGTCCCGGAACACGTGGTTTGAGCAGAGCAGTCAGGACCAAAAGGTTCGGGTTTGTTCCAGTTTTTATCAGCGTATTTGCCTCTCTGGTAAAACGAGGAGGAAAACAAAGTCATCCTCCGCAACCGCTGTGGCTCCGAGGGGGGCGGGCAGGCGGAAGCCCGCTGTCCTTCCTTCCGCGAGGACTCGGCGGCAGGCCCGGCGCACCTGCCTTTCCTACATCGCTGTCCACGCTTCTCCTTTCAGGCGTGAGGCTGCCCTCGGTTTTGTTTTACTGTTTCGGCTCCCTGGCCCCCGACTCAGGTGATGTCCACAGAGAAGCGTGTGTAAACTCACCCGCTCGTGGACTCGGCACCTCCAGCCGGGTTCCCGGGGCTCCTGCGAAATTGCACGTCTCATCACCACCCTTTTAAGACTAAGACTTGAAGACAGAGGGGACGTGTTCGTCAGCTTTTTTAAAAACCTCAGAGTTCTTGGAATCTTTTTTACCATCCACATACATAAAAGCCAATTTCAATTTTTCTTATTCGTGGAACTGCCTGAAAACATTGTGTTTCTCTTAATTCTTTGTGCCGAAGTTATTTCAGGTTGACACTTGCCAAACACTTTCATCTAATTAAAGCGAGGACACTGCAGCCATATTCCAGGAGAGTCCCTGCCCCGGTAGCTCCCCCATCCCTCTCCGTGTGGATTCTCTTTACCAGTCACATCACACACACAGTTACTGAACCATTCACCTCTGATGGGATTTTATTTAAAACTGCCCTGAGCGTGTTACATTCTTCCCGCACTGCTGCCATGACTGCCGTTCTCTGAGACGCAGAAGTGGCTGGAGGTGGGCCTCGCGGGGGGCATGTGCCCCTGAGGTGCGGCCATGGAGGACAGAGCAGGGCCCTGTGAACGTGGGCAGCTTGTGGAGGGAACGTGACACTTCACAGGGACGCGAGGGCCAAGCTTGACTGCACGGGTCGGCTCCACCTCTAACGTGCTCCCCAGGGGGAGTGACCGTGTCCGTGGGCCCAGGCCTGGGCCTGCCCCGAGCTCTGCGTTCCACCGCGGAGGGCACCCAAACGTCATGAGCGGTTGGTTCCCCGGCGCTCTGTTCTCCCTCCAGACCCCAGGCGCTCTGTGCGCTGCCCACCGGGTGCCTTGCCTAGGCTGCCCTCTCCACCGCAAAGGCCCTGGCTTGAGCCTGAGCCTTCCCCATCTCACGTTTCTGCAGGCCCCCATCTGCCCCACGGAGCCTTCGGAATCTCTGCCACGCAGGACATCCTTCTCCCTCTGTTCTCCCACTGGCTGCCATCTATGTGCTGTTAACACCTGAAGCTGACTCTTCCCCGAACGCTTTATGTGGAAAGTTCTCAGGCATTCAGAAAAGTCACGTGAACTGTAAACACTCATATACTCGCCCTTTAGAGTCTACACGGAACATTTTGCTCTGCTTTGTCACGTGTCCATCTGTCCATTCCTCCGTCCACCCATCACATATATGTATTTTCAAAACAAGGTGCAGACGTAAGTGCGTTTTACCCCAGACGCTTCTGTGTGCGTATAACTAGAGTTCAGTGTTGGTTACGTAACGTTTACACGTGGTGAAAGGCACAAATCCATAACGTTCCATTTACTGAATTTTGACGAGCTATATACCTGGGTGTCACAAATCACGGTCCAGATAGAGAACTTTCCCATCACACCAGGACCTTCTGGGTCGGTCACCATCCCCACTCCCGAAGGCAACCACCGCTCCAGTTTTTTTCGCCACGGCTTAGTCCGGACCTTCTTGGAAGTGAATATAAACGAAACAGGCAGCGTGTGTTTTGTGTGGGCCCTTGTGTGCAATGCACTGTGTCTGAGGCCTGCCCGAGGTGTTGTCTGGGTCAGTAGTTCTTTCCTTCTCGTTGCTGGTGCCGTTCCACTGTGTGAAGACACCACGAACGTCCACCTGCAGCCTGGTAATGGGAGCTTGGGTCGTTCCACTTTAGGCTGCTGGGAACGTGCCTGCATTTCTCTCGGCTAATACCTAGGAGGAAACAGCTGGGTCCCGGGGCAGGTGTGTGCTGAGCTTTACAGAAACCGCTGGACCTTTTTCTGAAGGGCTCTCGCATCTCACCCTCTGCCCCTGCTGGGCGACGAGCCATGGCGCCCAAGGCCTTGACTGCGTTTGCTGTCTTCAGCCCTGGGACCTCAGCCGTCCCGGGGGGACATCACGGTGTCTCTTTGTGGCTTTTCCTTTCCTGGATGAGAGTGATGTCCTGTGTCTTCTCAGGGCCTGTTAGTTCCGTGTTTATTCAGATATCTTTTTTTGTGAAAGGTCTGCTCAAATCTTTCGTCCATTTTTTATTTTTACAAGTATTTTTATGATGAGTTGGAGTTCTTTATATTTTCTGGATACCAGTCCTGTGTGAGATATGTGTTGTGTCAGTATTTTCTCCCATTCTGTCATTTAACTGTTCATTTTTTTTTTAACAGTTTCTTTGCAAGGCGGGAAGTTTTAAATTTTGATGAACTCTAATGTATCTTTTTTTCTTTTATGGTTATTACCGTCTGTGTCCTAAGAGACCTTTGCCTACCTCAGAGTCACAAAGATATTCTGTGTTTTCTTCTAGACACTTAATAATTTTAGCTTTTACAATTAGGTCTGTGCCCATCTCACATTAATGGTTATGTACGGTATGTGACAGGGGTCAAGGTTAACTTTCCCCACATGGCTGTCCAGGTCCACACGGTGTACTTCTGTGATTGTGTCCTTCCTGCCCTCATACTGTTACTTGGCCTGGTCCTTCACACAGCGAACACTCAAGGCATGTTAACTGAATTGCACTGAGAGAGCCCCGTTCAACCTTGAGTTAGCATTACCTGCCAAGAGCACAGGCCGAGGCCACAGGGGTCATTGCTTGAATGTTGTCTTTGGCTTCTTGAGTGAAGAGTAGAGATAGATTCAGCTTTTTACTGAATTGCTACTACATGCTAGACGGGGTGCCTCACTGCCTTCCAGTACAGCTTCTTCTTCTAGCTTTACTGAAACCGTGTATGTCAGATGAGGAAATCTGAGAACCAGACATTAGGAGTTCTCCAAGACAGGCAGGTCTGGAGGAAAGCCAATAACTTGTGTCTGATATAAGACTTCTGCAAGATAATTAACAGTTGAATGATTTTAAAGTGCACAGGACTTGATAATAACACTTGGCAGGTAATTAAACATATTAAATTCTGAACCAGCCCAAAGATAGCTGAAAAATTAAGTCTTCTGACATCACTCCAAGTGTATAGTAATATGTGCAAAATAAAAACCCCCGGGGAACATATTTGGCTCTAAATCTCTAAGCTAAGAGTTTGATTAGATAGTAAAAAAGGCATTAAAACAAGAAATAGCTTCGGGGCCCATGCACTGCCCAGGACTTTTTGAAACGTCCTCACAGTCTAGCTCGCGGTTCACAAGGCCGAATGTCCCCTGACTGTGCAGATTTGATGTGTGTCTTCGTCCCTGTGTATTGTCTGCGGAGAATGAGCGGCTCATCTTTTCTTCATCCGCAGGTATGCTTCAGAAGTGTCCTTCTATCGATGACTTCGTAAATGCCCTTGTTTCCGACCTGGATATGGACTTGGAAACTTTCCTCATGGATTCTAAATGATGGGAACACCGTGAATCCTTTAAATCAGTCACGGAGATATCAATTTTGTTGTAAATGCTACAACTTCGAACGTTTGTTTCTGATTTCAGCATTCAATTCTGTAATAACTTATGAAAAACCTCAAACCAGTGGAACTTGGAATAACTAACTTTTTAAAATTATGCTGGCTTTTAGCCTGTTTGGCAGATTTTTGAACATAAGGAAATCCATTCAGTGAGCGAGTGCACACCAGAACACAGAGGTGTTAGCGTCAGGGGCCAGACACCCTCAGCCCAGCCCCGCTCTTGGTGAGCTTTTCCCTGTCCGATACCTTTACTTGGTTAGAGACATAATAAAAAGCAAAGTTATTTCCGTTTGAAGCAGCTTCAGAAAGATTACACATATAGTTCCTCTGCGTGATTTCCTATAGGTGGCTCTGAAAATGGAAAGTCAGTTACAGTGACCGAGAAACCAAGTGTGGTTTCCAAAGTGTTTGTAATCGATTGTGTTGGCTTTTCCTGTGTGTTTAGGAATATACTGTACAGATGGACTCAGAACAGAGGGCACCTGAACTCACACTTTTCTGACTTGACGATGAATATACAAAAATAAGTGCAGGTACAATTAGTAAATGATGTGTCAAGTCCAGCAACTGATAAATACGGAAACTGGGATTCAAACCCTGTCTTTATCCTAAACATTATTGCATACTGTATCACCATGTGTTAATAACAGAAAAGAAAGACACCGTTTAATAGGCTTTTCACACCTTCAAAGTCAAGAATTTAATTACAGGCTTTCATTTAAAATGACACCTGCTAGTGGCCTCTTCCTGCTTCTCCCTAAAAGACCAGTGATGATGCAAAAAGGCAGGATTAAAAATCCCCAAAACTAGGACACATGTCCAACCTACTCACAGAATCTGGAGGAATTTCTACAAGCTAGAAACAGACGAGACAGGATAAAGAAATGTCAGTGACGCACGCATGCCGGGTCCACCTGGATGCTGGGGTGAGGGGAGGGGCGACCCTCCGTTCTCTCCCCACCTCCTGCCCACACAGGTAACACGCTGTGTGCACCAGCCCGGGAGCCGCGGCCCCGCGAACCTCCTGTGGGGCTTCTGCGTTAGCCACACGAGGCCTGTTCTCCTCTCCCAGCTCCTCCCCGTTTGGCTCTCTCAGTCTGTGAACACGTGGAAACCACAGTGCAGAGAATCCTTGGGCGGGAAGGAGGGCAGGCCTGCAGCAGTCGCTCCCCCGTGGGAGGTGTGGGGTGATGCCGCAGGGACAGCCGGATGCCAGTGCCCAGGGCAGGAGCGGCTGCTTCTGTCCCCACCCACACGGTCTGTGAGCTGAGGGAGGCGACGCTAACTCTCATCTGGGAAACGGACCCGGAGAAACTGACACCAACCTGCCGTCCGTTACAGGTAAGTCTGAAAAGGTGCTTTAACAGCTCCAGGTGTACCGAGCCACCAGCCCCTGGGCCTTTATCCTCCCTTTTCAGCTGAGGGTGAGTGAGCAGAAAAGGAAATCTGTGCGGAGCTTCAGAAAAAGGAAGGGAAGATGCGGGAAGATCCCAACTTTGAACACTATTCTTAAAAGGAACTAAGGCACGCTGTAGAAAACATCTCTGCCATTCTTAGTGAAACTTGAGAAAACACGGTATTTATGAAGCCGAAAGCCATAAAGAAAGAACGAGCGGAAATTTAAAATAGGCAAATCTAAAAAAGAAGACAGGCAGAATAAGAAAAAAAGAAATGCAGAGAAACTGAAACATAGTGCAGTGATTTAAAACATGATCAAAGCAGAAAAGACCAAAACTGCCAAGGAGAAATGAGAAGCATCTCACTCAGAGTGCAGGTTAAATTCAGGGACACGGTGAAAACCGGCAGCCAGGAAGCAGTACAGAATCCCAGGGACAAAGCCAGGACAGCTGGAACAGAAACAGCAACAAAACCCAAATTCTCGTGTCCTCCTGTGTTCCCAGTGCTCAGAACAGTGACCAGCACACAGTAGGAGCTCTGGTCAAGACATGCTAGTCAATGAATTTAAGGAAACTTTTTTGAGATGAAAAAAAATGGATGTGTAATTTAAAAGGGAATCCTTGATGCTGCCTAACAATGAGAATGTGCTTAATGCCACTGAACGATATACAATTAAAAATGGTTAAAACAGTCAAGTTTTTGTTATGTATGATTTACCACAATTTTTTAAAGCAAAGTAAATAAATGCAAGCAAAAGAGAGAGAAGAGAATCCTGCATTCTAGATCAAAACGAACAAAGAAAACAGTAAAAAGAGACCCCACACACACCCAGACAGACTCTGCCTTTCATTTTGAGAACTTAAATATAAATACAATTAAAATTATAAGCCAACTGATCCCAAACTGGGCATTTCCCAGGAGTTGTTAGTGTTCCACGAACTCCAAAGGGTCCCAGTGTTAAATACATTTGTAAAATACAAGTGAGCTCTGTGTGTCACCATGTGCACATCAGCAGTCCTGCACTCACAACACCTATTTCCCACACGTGTTTGATGAGGGGGCCCCCCGCTTTGTTGGAGGACCTACTGATGACATTTGTCAGAACACTGGGGACTAACTGTTGAAAGCATCCAGCTAGAAACAACAGGCTTACACAGAAAGGAACAAAGCGCACGGCGCTCCCAGAATTCAACTGTTCATCGCTGTGAAAGCCAAAGGACGGTGAAAAAAAGTTTTCAGAGGTGAAGGCTGAGATGCAGAATGGCGTTCTCAGATATACGAGGGCTCAGGAGACATCTCAGCTTTGTACCTTTCTTTAAAATCACTAGAAGAATAAGTAATTTCGAGCGAGTCAAAGCAAAGGAAATCCCTAAGGAACTTGTAAGAATTCTGAGGGGTCATCGCCTCTCTTCTCAACAGCAGCTGGATAAATCATAACAGCAAATTATCTTACTATGAATGCTTTTCCTTATGATGGGAATAAGCCCACAACACACAGCAGTTCCTCTGGGAAAAATTCTCTCCAGTACTTTACGGTTTACCAGCAGCTTCCAAAAATCCAGTTTAAACTACTTACGTGCTAAAAATAATAATCATCATCTAGAGAAAGAACTAGAGGATAATGAGTAAAATGTTAATGTGATTGTCCTTAGTGTTGAGATTTGGGCCTTTTATTTTTCTTCTATTTCCAAATTTAAAAAAAAATAGGCAATGTGTTCATTTTAATATAATTTAAAATTTACAAAAACTTTAATCATGACAGAGCTAAACTTAAAAGCGTGTTTCCAGTTCTGAAGGAATGCTTGGCTGATGTAAGCAAATTCAGAAAATGCTTCTGAGACATTCAGGGAACAACCCGTACAGTCAGAAACTTTACTAATACCCAAGGGTTAGCGTGATTTGCTCAAAGCGACTGAGGTAAAACATGAATAGCAGTAGTGCTTGACATTCATTTAGCATTTTTCAGTTCACGAAGAACTTTATCACGTGGTCATCTCAGGTGCGACCCATCACCCAAGAGGTAACAGGGCGCAGGCAGTGTCAGGACTCTTGTCGCCACAGTGGGGCAGACAGGCTGGCGACGCGTCGGCCGCTGAGCTGGTCACGCCGATGCAGGACTCCTGGACTGTGCCCCCTCCCCTGCGCACGGGTCTTCAGGAGAGGATGTGGATCTCCTGCAGGGGCTCAGGTGCACATTCAGACAGAGCGCTGGGTGGTTACAGGGCCCACTGGGCCTGACGTCGCGCGTGGTCTTTCTGCTTGAGGAAGCCTGTGCCCGTGGACAGACAGACGATGAGACATCACAGCATCAGACCAGGAGGGATGAGGGGTGGGAGGAGAGAGAGGAGAGGCCATCTGGAAAAAGTCTTCCACAGAACTTGCCATCCACTGGGTGGTGGCAGGTGGCAGGGTGGCACCTTTGTACTCTTTAAATCGTGACTCGATGTTTTTAGAAAACCATGTGGGAAGCAGCGCTAGGACAAGCCTGTGGTGGCCATTGGGACGGTCCTTTATGATAAACTGCTTAATTCGCATCCTTTGAGTAAGACTGTCCAGCAGTGATGAGCTGTTCTCCAGGCCCGTTTCTCCATCTCACCGACAGAGAAACCAGCAGGACCGTGTTAGGTGCCTTTCTGCAATCCCGACGCACTGGGCCAAGGGTAACTGCTCTCCACAGGCACCCCATCTATTTATTGTTTCCTCCAACTTTATGTTTATTTTCCTATTCATTTTCTTGTGTCTTGGGTTAATTAATTTTTAATTTTCAGCCTTTCTTTTCTCAGATGTGCATCTCAGTCTATAAACTTTCTTCGAAGTACTGCTTTAATTACATCCCAGAAGTGTCCACATGGAGTATTTTCATTATTATTCTATTCAAAATATCTAATGTAGTCTAATGGGTAATTTAGAAGTGTATCTTTATTGCATTGTGGTCAGAGTACATATTCTGTACCATTTCAGTCTTTTGCAATTTATTGAGACCCACTTTAGGGCCCTGTATATGGTCAATACCGACTGTAAACATGTTAGATGTGCTTGGGAAGAACGTGTATTTTTTAGTTGTTATGTGCAAGGTGCGTTTTCTTCATCTTTCGTCTGCTTAATCTGCTTTAAAACATCTGAAAGATGTATTAAAAATCTCTTGCCATAATTGCGTATTTATCTATTTACTACTGTAATTTGCTCAGTTTTCGCTCTATAGATTTTGAGGCCATATTGCTAACTACAAACAAATTTAGAATTCTTATATCTTCCTAGTAAATTTTTAAATTATTATGATGTGATTCTCTTTATCTCTCCTTGTACCTTTTAGCTTAAAACCTATTTTGCCTGATTCATTATAACTACACAAGTTTTCCTTTGTTTACTATCTGCATGATATATTTTCTGTTCCTTCACTATCTCATTATTTGGTGTGTCTTTTATACATGCCATGTTGATTCTTATTCTGATATTCTTTTTTTTTTTTTTTTGCAGTACACGGGCCTCTCACTGTTGGGGCCCCTCCCGTTGAGGAGCACAGGCTGCGGTCCCGCAGGCCCAGTGGCCATGTTTCACAGGCCCTGCCGCTCTGCGGCATGTGGGATCCTCCTGGACCTGGGTGCGAACCCGTGTCCCCTGCATCGGCAGGCAGACTCTCCACCACTGCGCCACCAGGGAAGCCCTGATCTCGTTTTAAAAAACTGTTTTCTGTGGCGTAGGCCAAATGCCTAATCCACCATTACCAGAAACCTATAATTCTGTTCCTCTAAGATCTAAACGTAGAATTACCGTATGATCGAGCAATTCCACTCCAAGTTTTATACCCAAAGTTACCGAAAGCAGGAACTCGAATTTATATTTGTGCACCAATGTTCACTGTAGCATTATTCACAATAGCCAAAAGGTGGAAACAACCTAAATGCCCATCAACAGATAAATGGGTAAACAAAATATGGTGTATCCCTATAATGAAACATCACTTGACCATAAAAAGGAATGAAGTTCTGGTACCTGCTACAGCATGGATGAAACTCAAAAAATTATGCAAAGAAGCCAGACACAAAAGGACAAATACTGTATGATTCCACTTACATCAAATATCTAAAATAGGCAAATTCATCACAGACAAAAATTAAACTAGAGGTTACCAGGGGCTGGGGTGGGGTAATGGGGGAATTATCATAGAGTTACAGAGCTTCTGTTTCAAGTGATGCAAAATTTTTGAAAATAGAGAGTGGTGATGGTTGCCCAACAATATGAATGTAATTAATGCCACTGAATTGTACACTTAACAATGGTTAGAATGGAAAATTTTGTGTTGAAAATACTTTATCAAAATGTTACACAGTGACTGGTTCAAGATGGAGGAGTAGAAGGACGTGCCCTCACTCCCTCTTGCGAGAGCACCGGAATCACAACTAACTGCTGAACAATCATCGACAGGAAGACACTGGAACTCACCAAAAAAGACACCCCCCATCCAAAGACAAAGGAGAAGCCACAACGAGACGGTAGGAGGGGCACAATCACAGTAAAATCAAATCCCATACCTGCTGGGTGGGGGACTCACAGACTGGAGAACACTTATACCACAGAAGGCCACCCACTGGAGTGAAGGTTCTGAGCCCCACGTCAGGCTTCCCAACCTGGGGATCCAGCAACGGGAGGAGGAATTCCTAGAGAATTAGACTTTGAAGGCTAGCGGGATTTGATTGCAGGACTTCAACAAGATGGGGGCGCAGGGGGCGGGAAACAAAGTGTGTGCATCGGGACCCGGGAAAGGAGCAGTGACCCCATAGGAGACTGAACCAGACCTACCTGCTAGTGTTGGAGGGTCTCATGCAGAGGCAGAGGGTGGCTGTGTCTCACCATGAGGACAAGGACACTGGCAGCAAAAGTTCTGGAAGTACTCCTTGGCGTGAGCCCTCCCAGAGTCCACCATTAGCCCCACCAAAGAGCCCGGGTAGGCTCCAGTGCTGGGTCGCCTCAGGCCAAACAAACAACAGGGAGGGAACCCAGCCCCACCCATCAGCAGACAAGCAGATTAAAGTTTTACTGAGCTCTGCCCACCAGAGCAACAGCCAGCTCTACCCACCACCAGTCCCTCCCATCAGGAAACTTGCACAAGCCTCTTAGATAGCCTCATCCACCAGAGGGCAGGCAGCAGAAGCAAGAAGAACTACAATCCTGCAGCCTGTGGAACAAAACCACATTCACAGAAAGACAGACAAGATGAAAAGGCAGAGGACCATGTACCAGATGAAGGAACAAGATAACACCCCAGAAAAACAGCTAAATGAAGTGGAGATAGGCAACCTTCCAGAAAAAGAATTCAGAATAATGACAGTGAAGATGATCCAGGAGCTCGGAAAAAGAATGGAGGCAAAGATCGAGAAGATGCAAGAAATGTTTAACAAAGATCTAGAAGGATTAAAGAACAAATAAACAGAGATGAACAATACAATAAGTGAAATGAAAAATACCCTAGAAGGGATCAATAGCAGAATAACTGAGGCAGAAGAATGGATAAGTGACCTGGAAGACAGAATGGTAGAATTCACTGCTGCAGAACAGAATAAAGAGAAAAGAATGAAAAGAAATGAAGACAGCCTAAGAGACCTCTGGGACAACATTAAACGCAACAACATTCACATTATAGGGGTCCCAGAAGGAGAAGAGAGAGAGAAAGGACCTGAGAAAATATT